CCAACAAAGAGCATTATCATGATGAAATTGGGGGGGTAAGAGATGCGGGTCTTGTGCTGGTACAAACAGCAGGGAACAAACATTTTTATACAGCCAATGAAGGTGGTTGAAAGCATTTGAACAGCACCTAAAGAGGATGAGAGGGGAAATAAAATCAGTCAGAAGGTGGTGGAACACGACAAATCAAGCAACCTCAGAAAATTTCTCAGACAAACTCCTGTAGGACTTTTATCTATGACCAAAGTTTCATCTTTCAGCAAGTGGAGGAAAGAACAGTGTCAGAAACCCCTTTAAAGAACATAATCACAGCTCACGAGTTCCCAGCCCCAAGATCCCTCCCCACATCTCCCAACCAGGCCTTTTTCACTTCAGTCGAACCACTTTGTCCCTCAGCTTCATATAAGAGGATCTGGTACTGTCAAATCATAGAATATCCTGAGTTGGAAGGGACCCACAAGGACCATCAGCTCCTGGCCCTGCCCAGGATCCCAACAATCCTCGTGCCTGTGGAGCCTGCTCCAGTCAAATAAATCCTATATAAATATCTTCCTGGCATTCGAGTGCAAAGGAAAGGAGTACCTAACATGCTGGGCTCTCCTTCCAGCAAGGAGAGGATGTATTTGTTAAGAAAAAGAGTGCAAAAGCTGAAGAAGAACCACAAGGTGAGGTAGATGAGAGCGTGGGAGTTCCAGATGCCCAGGTCGGACTCGATGACCGTGGTCTCCGTGATGGTGATTTTGAGGACGTTCTCCTCTGGCACGCTGTCACTGCGAGCTATCACAAACTTCTCACTCCTGTGAGCAAAGAGGGAGCCCAGGTGGAACAGGGATTTTCCCTTTGGCTTCTCTTCCAGGGGCGAAGGACTCGGTGCCTCCGGAGTCTGAGCGCTGGCCACGGTCGACATGGTGACTTTAAGGAATTAATGTTTGTCCTCAGCCCGAATCAACATTGACTTAGCACAGCACTTGACTTAACAAAAATATCATGTGATTAATGCTTCATCTCCCATGGCCTGGAAAGGACCTGCACTTGGTCCTCCAAAGAACATCTTGCACAAAAATAAACTCCGCGCGCTTCTTCATGTGGCCTGTTCCATGTTTTCTGCCTAAGAGGGAGAGAAGGAAAAAGCATGTATGCTCTGAGTGACATTTTAAATCCCTACTGCAGCAGAGATACCACACTTCTCCTGCGCTTTGCCAAAGAGAAAAAGACTTGTGTAGTCTTTCAAGACTGGATTTTGAACTCCTCATATCGTGATACCAAGATTAGGCACCAAGAACTTATCTAAGGGAGGTTTTTCTAATTCTAAAATAGCACGTACACACACACACCAGACTTCAGGTGGGTTTAAGTTCTTTCTCCTTTAAAGGACATCAACACGGCCTTTCCACTTATAACTAACTCCTCTTCCTGATTCTCCAGTGTCTTTGATCTCAGTCTAAGGTCTTCTTTAACCACTCCACAGAAAAATATTCCCAACCCAGCAAATCCAGGCAGAAGCCTGTACCCTTAGTACTAATTAATCTGTTATCAACCCGAGTCAAATAAGCAATCAATAATCAAGGACTGTAACTCCCAGTAATCACAAACACAATTATCCTGGTAAATGTGAATTCCTAGGTGAACAAAGAAGGAAAATATGTCCAAGAGCTTTCCAAGCAGACTTGTTCTCTATTTAATTACTTGTAAATAATGCAACATCACTTATTTTGCCACACAGAACTGCTGTACCTTGCAGTTCAATATCAGTACTTGCAATAATTCTTAAAGCCTTTTTTATTAGATCTGACAGAAAAAAGGCATTAAATCATTTGCAACTAGAGCTTTCTCCTTTTACAGATGGCACAAAATGTGCCAAGTTACAGTTGCAGAGTCCAGAGAGCACCAAAACCCCCCCTGTGACCTTCATCCCTCCCCAGCCAGGCAGGGTCAGCCAGTGCCACTCAGGGGTTCAAAGTCTGTGTTGAGAAACAAAGAAACTGCACCTGAGCAGCTGATCTCCAACATCAAAACACACTCTGAATTTATCCCTTTTATTTCTGCAGCCTTTGTCTCACGAGCAAGTGAAAATTGGATGAATCAGATGCAGATGAATTGAGGGGCTGGAGCTCTTTTGTTCCTCAGTGAACAAGCACTCGGGGAAATTACATTTTAAATGCTTGTCTCCAGAAGCACATTTAGTGGACAGACAAGACAATGGGCCTTAAAAAGGGATTCTTGTGGGGGAAGTTAATTACTGGACATCTTGGAAAAGCCATCTGAAATGAGATCCTAATAGTACAGTGCATCAACCAACATTCAATGGCAAGAGAAATACAAGAGTTGTACCAAGAGCTACTGCACCTGCCCTGATTCTGGGAGCATGTGAACAGGACACATTATTTTCTTCAGGTTTTTTTTTTTCCCAATGTGGTATCTCAAATAAATCATAAAGAGGTACTAAAGAGTTAAATATCTCCTGTCAGAGCAGCTGCTTTACAGTGAAATTTTCCATTCCTCACGTTCTCTGGTTCTGTTATTACAGCCAAGCACTGAAGATTTCCATCCCCGTTCCTTTATCTCTTTCCATTTTCCCAGGAAATCATGACAGCAGCAAGCCAAGGTATGAGACCCTCTAACACATTCATGTTGAACCCGTGCTTGTGTTAACCCAGTTCAACACAAAACTCTGAAGGAGGAGTCACGTTCTCCAAGAGAATTTGGTAAGAAAAATGGATTCTTGGCTCCTCCTCCTTTTTCAGGTCTTAAAAAAATGCCCCTCTACATTCAAAATAGTTGGTTAGCACAGCTTTTTCAGTATCTTTTCTGTTTATACAAGTCAATTAAAACCAAAAGCAATCAAGCACCATGAAACTCCCACCCTCGGCAGCGCTGGAATATCAGGTTTGATATCGCTGATTCCACACACGGCAGGAAGCAGAACAGCAAATAAGAACAGAACTACTCCCCTAAATTACTGACCTGCTGGCTTAAATCATCTGGAAAGCCTAAACGGGCTGAAAGAGTTCTCCATCTGGAACTAATTCAGTCTTCCTCCCTCAAGGCCAACCAGCAGCTGATGTTTACCAACAGCTGAAAACGTGGCAGTGGTTGGCAGTTGTTTCTCTTGGATTACACACAAAGCCTCAGTCCTCCGGCTCAAAAGAACCAGCACCGTGCACTGCCTTTTCCTTGTATCTCCTCCAACCTTCAACTACACTGCCAGTAACAACCTTGTGTCAAGGTGGAAAGCACATCCACAAAGAACTCTCTGAAGTCAGCTTCACTCAAGAAAAACTAAAGCTCAATTATGCTGCAAGTGCTTAAGGCCAATATGACTGAAAAAACAGACTCGTGTCCGTGACCCTTCCTCTGTTACACAAGAGGTCACCCAAACATTGCCCCCAGCACAGCAAACAGGGCAGAATTCAGCGAGTTGTGGCTATTAACAGCTTCATTACACTGTAACGAGAGACACAGGCTGGAAGCACAATACCCAAACTATTAACAGCTCCCACACAGAGAGGATGCCAAAAGATTGAAATAGCTTCAAGGCTTTTCTCGCATTCCAAGGCTGTTTCTGGTCACCCACTCGTAGAGCCTTCCCTGCCCATTCCGAACCAGCCCCACGCAGGCAATTCCCGCTCGCCTTCCAGTCCCCGAGCAGGGCTCGGAGCATCCCGAGCATCCCCGGCACAGGAGCTGCACCGCGGCCTTTCCGCCCGCCCCTCCGGGCCCAAGGGCTTTCCAGAGACCTCCAGCACCCACATCCCCCTTCCCAGGGCCGGCCGGGGATGCTGCTCTCCATCAGCGCCCGCTCTGCCCTCCCTCCTTCCCTGCCCGCCCTCCCTCCCTCAGCGCATCCCGCCCGGCACCTGCGGGCTCCCCGCACGCCGCCGCCGCTCCCGTGGCTCCGGCAAACCCGGGATGCGGCTCCCCGGGGGATGCGGCTCCCGGGATGCGGCCACCACCCATCCCATCCCTTCCCGTGCCGCGCCCGGAGCGCCGGGCGGGGAGGCGGGTCCGGCCCCGCACCGCCCCGCCGGGGCTGCACCGGGCACCGGCCCCTCGGGGCGGAGAAGAGCCCCGGGCTCGCCCCTTTGTCACCGCGGCCGTTCGGGGGAGGCCATTTTACCGAACCCACGAGGAAACGACCCAAAGGAGCGGGGCGGGGGGTCACGGGGGACACGCACAGCGAGAACCGCGCCGAGCCCCCGCCGCGCCGAGCCCTCCATGGCCCGCGGGGGCGGACGGGGCGGGGACGCCCCTCGGGACCCTCGGGAGCCCTCCCCGGCCGTGCCGGGGAAGTGACGTGCCGGGTGTCCCCCGGAAGCGCTGCGGGGGCCCCTCCGCAGCCATGTAGGTCCCGTCAGAGCGGGGCGGGAGCGCGGCCGCGGCCATGGACGGCAGGTACGGGCGGCACCACGCGCGGCGGGGGGGGTGCCCCGCCGCGCTGCCCACGGCGGGGCAGTGCCGGGGGTGGGGAGGGCGCGGGCGGCCCCCCCCGCGGGTGCGTGGTGCGGCCCCGTGACCGTCCCGTTGTGTCCCCGCAGCGGCGCCGCGGGCCCGGCGGGGCCGAGCCTGCCCAGCCTGCCCAACCTCACCCCGCGACACCGGCAGCTCATCCCCACGCCCTGCGGGCCCGTGAGTAACGACACCCCGCGGCATCGCACACACCCCCGCGGCTCTTCCCGCCGCGCTCGGCCCAGCCCCGGGCGCCTCTCCCGCCCCTCTCACCGGCATCTCCGCGGAGTCCGTCCCTGCCGGGGATACAGGGTCCCTCCTTCCCTGCCGGGGATACAGGGTCCCTCCTTCCCTACCGGGGATACAGGGTCCCTCCTTCCCTACCGGGGATACAGGGTCCCTCCGTCCCTGCCGGGGATACAGGGTCCCTCCTTCCCTACCGGGGATACAGGGTCCCTCCTTCCCTACCGGGGATACAGGCTCCCTCCGTCCCTGCCGGGGATACAGGGTCCCTCCGTCCCTCCCGGGATTACAGGGTCCCTGTGTCCCCGTTGTTACCTTGCCTGGGAGGAATGGCAAATGGCATGGGAATGGGAAAACGTGCCTCGAATCCGCGCTCATGTTAAGGTGGACTGGGGAGTTCAGGTGTCTGCCCTCCAAGGCTTGTCACAGAACGAGCATCCTGATAGAGTGACAGAATTATGGAATGTCCCGAGTCGGAAGGGACCCACAGGGATCAGCCAGTCCAACCCCTGGCCCTGCCCAGGGCACCCCAACAATCCCCCCCTGTCCCTCAGAGCCTTGTCCAAATGCTCCTTGAGCTTTGGCAGCCTTGGGAAGTGACCATTCCTTGGGAAGTGACCATTCCACGGGAAGCCTGTTCCAGTACCCAACCACCCTCTGGGGGAAGAACCTTCTTTCCTGAGATCCAACCTAACCCTGCCCTGCCACAGCTCCAGCCGTTCCCTCAGGTCCTGTCCCTGCTCACAGGGAGCAGAGATGGGAGCAGAGTCATCTCTCTGTGTTGAGTTCCTGCAAGGATGTTGCCTCACCTGAAGTATTTTAGTGAAAGAAAATAAGGACCTCACCTCACTGAGAACCCCGACCCTGTATTTACAGTTCTCTAAAACTGAAAGTCTGGGAATATGTTGCCTGCTGGACACCCCCGTGCTCTGACAGGGGTAGGTGTGGGCACTGGCAATCTCCAGGCCAGGAGATGGGATTATAATGCCATGACCTTTGTGAGGCAGAAAGGCTGGAGGTATAAACCAGGGCAGTCTAGGCTGAGATTAATTATGCAATAAAGTTAGACTTCTCCCTTCCTCAGCAATTTTGGACTTTCAGTTCGGTTGGTGGATTTCTCTTCCTTTTCCCAAGGGAAAACCCTGCACTGCCTCATTTACCCTAATGTGTTTTTTAGGAACAGCAACAGGTTTATTCTGCGTTATGTGTTCAGAGATGTTCTTCCTTTCCAGATAAAGCCATGTTCAGAGCTCTCATTCCCTGTGAAGATCTACTTCTGTGTCACTATTTTGTCTCTGCTGAGTGTCATAGGACTCACCATAGAGACACTGGTCCGGCAGACCGAGGAGGATTTCACCATTTCCTTTATCCAGTTGGTTGGAGTTGGTAAGAAACTGTTGGGATTTTGAAACAAATACATTTTTTTCCCCCAAGGTGTAATTAAGCAGCAACTGAAGTTTCTTGTGTGAGAGGTGCTGAATGTTCAGCTGTGCCAGAAAACCTTCCAGTTCCCTTTTTAATGTCTGATCTCAAACAAGAAAATGTGAAGGCATCTCTCTGTGCTAAGTTCCTGCAAGGATTTTGCTTCACCTGAAGTATTTTATTAAAATAAGAACCTCATTTTTTAAAAAAAAAATCTCTTTTTTGTCTAATATTTTCCCCCCACTGGAAGATCCAAACTTCCTTGGATATTTCCAATGAGAGCTTCAACAGAAACTTATTTTCGTATTCTTGGGTCCATTTGTCTCGAATAGAAATTACCATGAAAATAATAAACTATTTCAGGAAGTGGCTTTAGCAGGTCTTGGCTGCCAAAACAGTGTGAAAAAGGAGAGATTGTGGGTGTAACACAGTCCTTGCCTTCCAGCTCTCACCCAGAGGGAACAAAGACAATAGCTTTGTTCCAGATTCTATAATTAGACAAATCCCAACAATGCTTTAATTCCAAACCTCTGATTTAATGAGCAGCTTTTCACACAGGACTCACAAAGCTGCAATGTTAGAACAGCCTGAAGAACCTTCATGTTAAATCCATCACAGACCTGGGAAGTTGAAGCCACACTTGCCCATCTGTTTTTCCCCCAAACCATGTTTTCTGTGTGATAGACAAAGACTGACAGGACAGGTGTTTCTTTAAAGAAAAATAGATGCCCTGGCTGTAACAATCTCTTGGGTTTACAATTAGATATTTAATTTAAGGGGGGGTTGGGGATTTAATCTGTTGAGAAATATTCATCCCCAAAACCAAGGGGGTGTCCTGTATTTCAGAAATGTGCATATGCCACCTCTGCAAAAAGCTTGATAATCAGAGCTTATTTTCAAATTATTCGTGCAAAATTTCTTCTGACTGAGCAGCTGAATTTGCAAAACAAGGAAATGCTGCCTTAAGTCTTTGAGGTCTTCCTGAGGTCAAGAGCGTGTCCAAAAAATCCCGTGATTCACTCTGTAATTTGCCAATCATTTTCCACTCTCTCGGTCCCTGTTAAGAGCAGTGGAAAAGGAAGTTCAGTCACTGAAGGTTTGTTTGGACACTCAAGTTACTGTGTTCCTTTGAAGACTTGGACAGCACTTTGTCCCCATGTCCCAGCCTTGCAAAAGTGGGGGGGATTTTACGTGTGGAATCCAGGAAGCAGCGCTCTGGAAAAAGAAACCTATTGTTACTTTGGCTGTGGGAAGAAGGACCCAGTGTTTGCAGGAGCATCCTATAAAAGAACAAAGCCTTTTCCTTATTTAAGCTTTGCCAGAACAGCACAGAGTTCACTGTGACAGGTGACTGGGGGGGTTGATGTGTTTTATAAAAGCAGAACTCAGGCCTTTGCAGTTATTTTGCAGGGTGGGGTGTTTCGAAATTTCCACAATAAAAGTAAACTGAATCCAGTCTGTCCAAGTTCAGCTCAACACACAAACCATGTGCAGTGGCCAGACAACACTGCAGAGGGGGGTGTGTGTGTGTGTGAGTAGTAAACTGCTTGTTAGTCACCTGAATTACTCTCCCTGGGAAGATGATGTCATTTCAGTTCTTTAATAAAAACTGTGCTGCTTCATTTAATTCAAATATTGGACATGATCAGTGTAGTGTTCATAGATTAACACAGCCCAGCTGCCAGTGTGGGTGGCTGATACACTGCCATTTGCAGAGAGTTACTTCACAAGGAATTTAAAAATCTAACTGATTATTTAATTTCTTAGGGAGAGTGTTTTAAGCCTCTGATTCGGGCTCCTTGGTAGGAGCAAAGGCGCTCCGGGCCGAGGAGCCTCAGCTCCGTGGTTCTGCTCAGGTTTTTGGCACCCAGATGCAGCACACTGGGGAGTTTTGCTGGTGTTCAGTGTATCCTCACCTGGCACTGCCCTTGCCTTGTCCCCCCAGTGTTCTGTGTGTACTATGTGAGCCGGGGGATCCTGCAGGAGAACCGCCAGGAGCTCATCGTCTTCGTGCTCTCCATCCTGCTCGTGATGCTGCGCTCCATCACCAACTTCACTGTCCTCCCCGCTGAGCAAAAGCCAAAGCTCCTGGTCAGTCTCTCCTGGTCTTCATTCATTTTTCCTTTCTCCACGTGTTGGGTGTGAAAACCCGTCCGTAGAAAGGCAGGATGTCTGTGGTGAGGGCACTGCTGACAGAAATGTCAGTTAATCTGAGTTAATCCCTGTTGAACAACAAAGTGTGCACGTCCACAGCTGCAGGTCTGCTCCTCTGAGCTGCTCCCTGGGTTTCTTTGTGGCAGAATCTGGAAGTAACATAAATATCAAAGGATTGCACAGGGTTACTGCAGAAAACACCCTTCACTTCACCTGCTCTGCTTCACATCTGGCCTCAAGTCACATAAATTTAACCTGGAATCTCCAATCCATAGGCAAGGACACAGCTCCATAAACACAGCCTTGTGTTTTTATGGGATTTATGGGAACCTGCTGCAGGGAAACAAAGATACAACAGGCTGGGGGAAGATACTGCCATTGCAGGTTATCTTGTTTGCATTCGTAGCAATTAAATGTGATACAAAGACTGTATTCTGTGCCTTACTGAGATCTGTAGTTAAACTTCCCCTTGCTGTGCTTCCCAGAAGTCCTTCCTTTTAAATCACATTTTTCTCACAAATGGGAGAAGGAAGTTCCTTGCTGTGAAGTCACCCAGAAATTATTCTTCAATAGGAGAGGTGGCAACCAAACTAGGAGGCTGGAGCAAAGAATTTTCCAATTTAGTTTATCTGTCAATTGTACATATAATTAAACAGGCTTATCTGCAGCAAATTGGGTTGTTTGTTTGGGTCAATAAGGAACAGGCATCAAAAGGGTGCAGGGTACTTTAAGATGTGCAGCCAACTCATCAGCTTATATATTAAACAAGAACCTCAAAGTAAAGCCTGCTGTGGAAGATGTGAAGAGAACTATTAAGGACTGGCTTTTTTACCAGTCTTAACAGTAACTTGAATTACTGTAACTCCTGCTTCCTGAGCAGGAATCATTTCTAGTGTAAATATTCTCTCATCAGAGCAATTGTGAAGGGAGTTTTGCCACTTCAGCCACCTTTAAAGCAGCAGAGGTTTAGTGTGAATGCCAGCAAGGTAAATTCAGCCCAGACAAAACCTGTGTCTCCTGGAATTTAACAGGTCCAGCATTGGGAATAACCCACTGGAATCAGGGGGGAAGGTTCCCCCCGGTTGGTTTATGCCAACAGGAGGCCTAGAACCAGTCTCTCTTACTGGGCAGCCTGGTTTCCTTGCTGCTGCACTCCTGTATTCCCAGTGAGACCATCCCAGGTCAGGCCCTGCCCCTGTTGTGCCGTGGGCAGTCACAGCCCTGTCTCTGTCCCCCCAGGCCCGCTTTGTGCTGATCCTGCTGGTTGGCTCCTTCGATGTCATCTGTGCCATCATCCTCATCCAGAGCCAGAGCATGATGGCATTCCGGGTGGGGGGGGCCCTGGAGAGCCTTCAGTCCCAGTACTTCATGCTCAACCTCTGCTTCTCCATGCTTACTTTTGATCTCCAGGCACAGGTAAACAGCTCTGCCCCCCCTTCCCTTTTTTTTCCCCCTCTTATTAGTAATAAGTTGGACAAGCTGAGCTAATTATTAACTCCCCAGAGCAATCCTGCCTCTCTCTTACTGTATAATAATGGTCATATCTCCAGGTTTCTATGGGGAAGCTCAGGTAAAATCCATAAAAATGAATCAACACGTTTTATCACTGTCCTGCACAAAAGGAGAACTGAAACTTACTTTTGGGAAGTTTGTCCATAAAAACAGTAACATCCAGAAGCTCCAACCCACCTAAAACAGGAGCCTCCTAAAACAGGAAAGGTTATTCCTGCACAACATCCCAGCTGTGTCCTACCCTTGGGGAAGTGATCCTGGGGTGGGAGAGGGGAACCTGCCCCACAGGGCAGTGGGGTGAGAGAACAACTGAAGTTACAGACACAGGAAGTGAACCCCAAGTTTGTTCACCTTCATTCTTTACCACTGTGTTACCTTATGCTTTATCTGCCTTATCTTTGCTTCATCTTTGTTGTTGGTATCGTGGCACACAGGGAAGCTCCTCTGTCCTGGTTTCCCATTCCATAAGGAAAGATTTTGCCCGACTTTCTGCTGGTGGGGATTTGTGCCAGGTATTTTTTCGGTGGCTGCAGGGTCTCAAAGCCGTGATTTTTCCCCATCTCTGCCCCTTCCAGCTCTGCCTGTGTATCCTGCTGATCAGCCTGCACAAGATCACCCTGGTGCACAACATCATCTCGGCCACGGGGGCCCTGTGGGGCTGCCTGAAGGTCACCATCGGCATCATCGCAGTGAGTGTTCAGCTGAGACACGGGGAAACAACCCCTGAGCCTGCAGGGTCTCACCCTGAGCACTCCCCCCAGCCTGGGGAGCCACAGCCAGCCCGTTCCACACCCCTCTGCCAAGGGAAGGGAGCCAGGATGGAGAAAACCAGAGCCCCAACAGCACTTCTAACTCTGTGCCTCACCTGAGAGTGACATCACAGTGTCATTCTTCCTGTCTGAGGGACACAGTTTTATTCTCAGTCCTTGATCACCTACTTAAGTGAAACCTGTAGGATCACACTTCCATGTTTGAAACCTCTCTGACAAGGTTGGGTGAAACTGGGAACAGTCCTCCAAATTACTGGGGTTATACAGACACAGAGAGACTTCACAGGCCTCAAATCCTCAGGAAACCACACCAGAAAGGCTGGGTGGTCCTTTATGGGGGCAGCTTCTTCAAAATTCAGGGACAGTGTCCAGGTTAAAATGAGGATTTGTGAACTTGAAATGTCATTTTTCACGTCAGTCAGACTGAACCTCCTCTGAAATCATGAGACTGTTCCAAGAATGATTGCAGAATCGGGGCCAAAGTACATCAGATATGTGAGTCTTTTATGACCAGGAAGGAGTTTAGGGGTTTTTTTTTTGGGGGGGGGGGGGGGAATGTTTTTTTTAGGCTCCTTGGCTGTTTGCTTTGACATTCACACGAATTCCTGGCAGCTGAAATACAGCTTTCCAATTGTTTTGGTGGCTTTCCTTGCTAAAAATGGAGGTAGCACCAAGCACTGTGCTTTTAAAACACTTTGGTAACTCAGGTAACACAGAATCACCTTTCTCCTAATCAGAATGATGCCTGTTTTCCTGATGGGATTACAAATGTAAAAAACCTTTCAGCTACTTTCCCCTCACCATCAGAAACAAAGTTCACCTGGGCAGTTGCTGCTCACAGATTAAAAGTTCTTTGCTGCTCCTGGAGTTGCCTTTAGGCACTAAAAGAGGCTCTGTCCTTGTAAGAAAAGAAAGAGTTGCTCCAGTTAAATGGCCTCATGTCTTTACATGACTGGATGGCAGTCCCTTCCCTCTTTCCCAAGTCCCAAGGTGGATTGGGAAACAGAGTTCTCCTGACAGTGAAATCCTCTTGCTTCTCCCACGTTTTACTGGGACATTTCAGTCCTCAGTGCCTGCACTTCCCTGAAGTAGAAACAAAGGTGGGGAAAAAAAGCCACAGGGAGCTTTCAGGCTGTTAACATTCCTTTGTTTTAGAGAAAAACCTGAGCATACCCAAAGGAAAACCACCATCACTCCTGGCCCAGCTCAGTGGAAAGCAGAGACTGTATGTCCTGCTAAAAAAAAACATCCAGGAGAGCAGAGTTACAGCTGAGAACTCAGCCTGACCAACACTTGAAACACCACTGAAAAATCAGCTGTTTGTAGCTTTTACAGAGAATATAGCAACAAGTTATAGAGTTGTATGTGTGTCTTGTCTTATTTTACAGATTTTGAAAGAGCTGAAGCCCCTGGTGTGGATTTTTCTGATCCAGAATGTCCCTGAAGTGGTGTATCTCATCTACCTGCTGTACACGGTAACGCAGCAAACTCACCTGCTTGGGAACAGCAAGGCTGGAGGGCTCCTCTTCCCTGCTGGATCCTTGGGCCCAAAACATCCTCCTGCTGAATCTAAAGGGCAGCAGGCACATCCTGCCTCTTCAGGATCCATTTTTCAGGACAGGAACCATTTCAGCTTGATCTTGAACTGATTAGTCACAGGGAGAGGCTCTGGAAGTCTCTGGCAAAGTGTCCAGAATAATTAGGGAAAAATGCAACACAATCTTCCAGTACAAGACACAGAGCTCCTCAAAAATGCCTCCCTTCCTTCATGAGGCCTCAAGTGGTGCCAGAGCATTTGACCAGGGCCTCAGCTGTTATGTTTTAAAGGATTTCTTAGGCAGCACCCCCAGCTGTTGATCCTGGTGTAGCCAAAACAAGCCCACCCAAGTCCAGTGCTGGGTGTTATTTTGTGATAAAGCCTTTCCCAGTGGGGCTCCAGCACCTCCCACAAGATGTGAAAGGAGCAGGGAGAGAGAAGGGCAAGGGCAGAGCAGACTGTTCACCATGGGAAGGGCTGGAATGCTGACAGTGGCCAGGGTTTCTCCTGCTCCACATCCACAGTCTCCTGACACGGATAAAAGTCCCGGGGCTGCAGCCACCCCTGTCCTTGGGGTTCTGTTTGTCACAGTGTGCAGGCAAACCAGGCCCTTCCCATTACTCCAGGCCTGTTGGATCTGGCACAGCATAGCAGGACACTTTACCCTCCATCATCTAAACAGGAAACTAAGTTTAAAAGTGACCAGTTTGGGTTTTTTCTTCCCCCAAATTCCACTTCTTTCAGAAATTCAGTGCTCCATTGCATCTTGTGGCTTCCAGGTCTTGGGTGTTGATTGTTTTATGTCTCCCTTTTCCTGCAGGTGATAAGGGAGTGGGGCAAAGGGAATTCCTACACTCTGGAAGCTGCTTTCATTACTGGCTCCTGCATTTCTGTTGCCATTAAATCTGTCCTGTTCTGGGCCCTGCTCCACGTGTACCGCAGCTTTGGGCAGGGGCTGAGAGAGAGAAGTAAGTACCTCAAAAACTTACCTGGGAAGGTTGTGGCCCGTTGTATCACAGTGGAGAGCCAGGAAGATAGGGATGCTCCCAGTAAAAGGCACATCTCTGAGGACCTCAGGCACTTCTGCAGCCTCAGGGTTTACTGGGCTGACCAAGCTCAGAAGCTTGAGCAGAATATGTGTGGTTTCTCCCTGTGGAAAGCTGGCACTAGTTAAAGCTGCTGCCAACTTTGCCAGGAATCCTGGTATCCAAAAAAATCAGGCCTGTGTGGAAGAATCTCTCAGATACCTGTGATTTTTCTTACCATGCTGTATAATAACAAAGAGACACAGGATAAAGGGACCCAGAGAGCTCCTAATCCTAAACAACCCAGACCTCCTTTGGCAGGAAGGGCACTGCTGAGCATTGCCTTGGTGCTGACTGACCTTCCTCTCTGCCCACAGTGTTTTCTTCCTATGGAAGGATCGACTCCTGAGCCCCCCGTGCTCCCCCTGCAGCTCTCACCGAGTGAAGGCACAGCAGGGGCAGCTCTGACCAAGCACCTGATTCTGAGTGGGAAATTAAGGGGCCACTTCCACAGGGGCTGGGGACAACACCACACATTCCTGGATGGTGCTGGAGAGCCCCAGCAGGGCAGCTGGGGATGGCTTGGAGGGCAGAGGAGCAGTCAGTGCTCTCACCCCGGGGAGTTCTGGCAGGACAGAGCATCTCCCACTCCTCGTTTTCCTGCTCTTTGTAACCACGGGAGGTTCATGACGTGCACGTGAGTGTTGCTGCTGTAAAAGTGTTTTCCTGGGCCAGCACAGCCCCAGTGACAGAGCAGAGTGTTGCTGGTGTAAAGGTGTTTTCCTGGGCCAGCACAGCCCCAGTGACAGTGACTTTGCACCCCCCATACACCAGGTCTGGGTGTCTCTGTCCTGCCATTGTTGCTCAGCTCAGATTTTATGGTGGAAAGGCCAAGCCCTGCTGGTGTTTGGTGACAGCTCTTCCCTGCCTGGGGCTCTTCTTCCTCCTCTGACTTCAGAACATTTCAGTTACTTGTTTTTCAGTCCCAGCTACACCCGAGAGCAGCTCACTCTGATCTCCTGCTCCCCTCCAGTGTCTCTAACCAACGTGCCATCCCACGCCAGGGGGACTGTTACAAGCCTTTAATACTGTAATTTAAAGTTTGCTATTTTATTGACTGCAACCTTTAACTACTGGCTATTTTTAAATAAAGTACAAGCACAGTGTGTGTGTGGCTAATTATTTCACTGACAACAGCACGAATTCAATGGGAAATCTCACAAGCCAAGCAGGGAAGGGGCTGGAATTCACATGTGCTGTGACCATCAGAGTCCTCCTCAGACACATCTTTATCTTGTACACTGCACAAAGCAGGTTCAAAAATGGATTGCAGCTGATCAGGGAAATCTGCAAGGATTATATCAAAAACTATTAAAAAAACCCATATACAAAATTAAAAAATAATATAAAACATATATAAAACAAATGCAAATATAAAATTAAATAAATGAAATATGTAGGTATATATTATAATTATTATAAATACAAATATAAAATAAATTCGAAAGCCCTATTAAAAAATTTGTATTTTTCTCATCCCAGTCTCCTAAACCTGAATCAAATCTACTTTCCAGGAGGCCCAAGGGGGGCATGAAGGGGTTGGATTGTGTGGCCCCAGCTGCCAGAGCAGCAGCTGATGGCTGTGACTTCACAAGTCAGGGGGACTGTGAATTGTTGCTGAAATGGAGAAACACAGTCAAGCACATTCAGGCCTTTTGTGCAGCAGGACCAGCAAGGGAAGGCTCTGACCTTGCAGAAAGCCTGGACTTGGCCAAAATTAGGTGAAGAAAGTGTGTTTTATGCAATAAATAGAGTAATAAATAGTTTTATGTCATACTGAGTGTCAGTGTCCCAGCAATGGGGGTTATTGCTCTGGCCAGGGACAGCAGGAGTTTGTCACCAGCCAGGCAGGAGAAGATGGAAAATCCTTTGTAAGGTGCCCTGTAAAACAAATGAACTCCAAAGCAGCTCCATCACCTGCCCAAGGTGTCTCCTCACACTTGTCCAGCACCTGCTGGAAGGGGTGACACATTAATGAGGAAACCAAAGGACTCTCAAACACAATTAGTGACAAGTTCCAGGGAGGAAGGGTCTGGAACTTGGTCAGAACGTGCAAAGCCAAGGACACAACAGGCAATTAAACTGCATTTTCAATCTTCATCTTGCTATCCAAATTATCAGAGGTTATTTGGCATCACTGCCCTTGTATTTCTACCCCTGGGCCTTGAAAAACACAGTTAATGTAGCCCAGCTACTCATACACAAGATCTGTTTCAACTTGCACAGCAAACCCAGCATTTCTTTTGAAACTCCTGAGCCCAGACTGTTATCAGACAGTACCCTCAGAAAAGCCCTGGGTGTTTTTTAGTAAAACAGATGCCCCTGTCCCATGAGACAACGTGTCAAAGCCCACCCTGGACATCTGCTCTCCAAACAACTGTGTGTGTGTTCTTAATCTGATATTCTCCCCCAGTCAAAGCGCTGCTCGACAAAAGCCAACTTTACAAAAAGATTTTATTGAAAGGATTGAAAAATATTCGTTTTCAACAATATTCAAAACGAGTTCTCAATGCGTTAACAATATGTAACAGGATTTTTCAGCTTTTAAAAATTCAGTACACTGCTTTATTCCGTGCTACACAGTTGTTAATGACTTCAATTTCTACCAGAGGATAATAACTTTTTAAAAAAAAAACCCAAATTCATTTCCCAGCTTCCATTTTGGCCCTTTTTGTAGACTGGAAAGGATCTGCAGGGCACAGGGACACCCACAAACCCCTTGGTTTAGAAACTCCTAATCAGCAAAACCCTATTTTTATTTTTTTTTAGTACAGTTTCAACGAGTTAATTCGAATGAGCTACATCAGCAGAACGAGGTTTTATTGCCAACGAACCGAGTGTGCATTTACAGCTTTTTTTTTTTTTTTTTTCTGGTTCAGCTCTGAGCAAAAAATTCACCCACGTGACAGCAGCTGAGCATGAAAACCCCAGTTGCTGCTCAGCCTCCCTCTCCTGCTTGGGAATTACGGTTTGGGAATTACAGCCCGTGGATTAAAAGCCTTGCCCAGGGACTTTGTACACTCAGATCTAAGTCTGAGATGCCTGAGCACAGCCTGGGCCGTGCTTGGACACAGAGCAGTTGGGATAACTGGGATCAAGGCAGCTTCTGGAAGGAAAAATCAAGCCCCAAGTCAGCTCTGCCTTGGCTGAGCAGACACCCAAAAACCTCCTCAGCAGGGAGAACCCTCCCCAAGCAAAACTGCAGCAGCCTCAGAGCCAGCAGTGCAGCTGCAGTGGGTGATAAATGGAAAGAATAAATTCAAAGCCAACCCCTAACGCAGATCTAAAGTAGTTCAGTACACTTTGATTACAGATTCCATGACCTGTGCACTCTGAAAATCAAAAGTCCGGCCACTTAGTCAAGAATAGCTTTACTATTATAAAAAGCATAAATAAAAAGTGCTGAATATAGTTTTATCTTTAAAAAAATACTAGATAAGGCTCATAAATCATTTCACCTTGCCTCTGCAAAATGATTCCCACTTCCTAGTGTGCCTAGAACTCCACTCCTTTTCCACCTCACCACACATTTCCCCATACCCTGTTCCTTCTCTCAATTATTGCATGTTTAAATAAAATAGTTTCAAAGCAAAAAAGCCTGACACTTCTACAGTTCAAAAAGTAAACAGTTATCAAATAACTGGATACTCCACCCAGCAAACCCGTAAGCAGCTTCAAAAACAGTGATAAAGCAATTACTGCAGATTCAAGTGAAAGAGAAATCCCAAAAGCTTACCTGGATGTTCTCCCAGGTACCACAAAGTCCGTCTGTTTAGACCAAATCAAACCAATATTCTATTTTACAGCGTTTACAAACCGAGTGTTCGTTTCTACCAACACACTTTCACTGTGATTTGAATCGTTAACCAAGAGTTTGCTTCTCTTTTATGGCAAAGTGCTCTCACCTGGATTCAATGAATCAGACTAGGGCAGCACCCAGAATGGATGAGACATTATTCACACCATCAGAGGACGAGAGGCCAGGCAGGGTCTGGGAATGAACACACTTCCCACCTCCACTTTGGACCACAGAAACAACGTAAGACGATCAGGGAAAGTTCACCAGAGCTCCTCACTCCGTCTCCAAGGAAATCCCACCTCAACCAGGAAACTAATTCCACTGCAAGACTCAAACTGCAACAGCTCCTGCCCACTCCTTCACCAGCCGATGCAGCAAGACTGAAAAATGCTAAAGTTTGGGTAATTAATGATCATGAGACTGC